TATCTTAATTTTTGAGTTATCCTGCAGTTTATCTTAGTATTACTATACCATTTCAATTACTATTGTTTTGAAATTGTTCTTTTCAGACAAGTTACTACTTTTTTTCAGCCTTTTTTTGGCCTACATTTTCCATTAATTTTTGCAAAACAATTTAATCAATTTGATATTATTTGGAATACCCAATTCCATAGAAAGACATGGTCACCAAAGAATATGATGGGAGGAATCAGTACTGAAATTGAGTTGGGATATTGGTAATCATTAAAAGATCACACATAGATTAGTAATACCTAATACTTCATAGAAACTTGTTATGTGCCAGGTACTGTTTTGAGTGTTTCATATTATATCACTTCATTCAATTCTTTAGAAGTATGGAAACTATGGATGAGTTTTCATTACTTGCTGCAGGTCACAAAGCTGGCACACCCTTAACTAGACAGTCACTGTTGGATGCTGTGCTCTATCACTGTACTTCACTACCCTTAGGGTTGTTTAAGTGTGCAGAGTGTAAACATCTTGTGCCATCCTGCTCTGCCCAACCCGGGATCTGAATCATTCCTTTGTCCAGTGTATCCACACTGTATATGCTACTTCCATATCAGTTACTTACTAGCCAGTCTGGTTATCAGCCCACTGCCTTGAGGTATTGCAGTTCTTGCATGGAAATAACCCTTTTTTTTAAAAAAACACAATAGCCCCAAAGTGCAGGAGTAATGATACTGGAGATTTAAATATACTAAAGAGAAGTCATAATGTGCTTTACCCTCTGAAAAAGTGAAAATTCTGCAATTAATAAGGAAAAAAAATCTGATGCAGAGGTTGCCAAGATCTACATACAGAAAGAACAAGTCTTCAATCCATGAAATTGTGAAGGAGAAATCTGTGCTAGGTTTTCTGCTGCACTTTAAACTGCAAAATCTATGACTATGCCAGGTGCAGTAACACACGCTTGTAATCCTGGCTGCTTGGGAGGCTGAAGCAGGAAGATCTTGAGTTCAAAGCAAGTCTCAGCAAAAACAAGATGCTAAGCAACTCAATGAGACCCTGTCTCTAAATAAAATACAAAATAGGGCAGGGTATGTGGCTCAGTGGCTGAGTGTCCCTGAGTTCAATCCCTGGTATTCCCCACCACCACCACCACCAAAAAAAAAAAAAAAAAAAAAAAAATCTATGACTATAATGCTCGCTAAGTTCTTAGTTAAGATAGAAAAGGAATTAAATTATGGGGTTTGGTATTATCTATGGTTTCAGGCATACACTGGGGGCCTTGAAATGTGTCATTGGCTACATATAAATACATATGGAATATATTGTTCTTATGAGAGAGTTTCAGGCAGGATTGAGAGACATTAGTTTATAACTTATGTCTTCATGACTCTTTCTCTTATCAAATTGGTTTCTTTAGCTTTAGGGTTTCTTTTTCATACAAATTTAAAATCATAGCAATATATTAAAAGATATTAATTTGTGAGTTGTTAACAATTAGTTAAAATATACCATTTTCCATGCATCTTCAGGAAATTATAATCTATCTTCATCAGTTATTAGAGAATTTTTTTAAAAAAATGTTATTAGGTAAAAAAGGCAATAAAACTGTTTTAGTCAGTTTTGTGTTACTGTGATCAAAAGACCTGATGAGAACAACTTAGAGGAGGAAAAGTTTATTTTGGCTCACGGTTTTAGAGGTTCAGTCTACAGTGGGCAACTCCATTGCGCTGGGCTGAAGGTGAATCAGAACATCATGGTGGAAGGACATGTCAGGGTAAAGCAGCTCACGACATGGCAACCATGAAGCAGAGAGAGTTCCACTCACCAGGAACAAAATATAAACTCCATATGCACACCCTCAGTGACCTTTTTCCTCCAGCCACACCCTGCCAGCCACCATTTACCACCTGGTTAATCCATTCAAGTGGATCAATCCACCCATTAGGTTATAGCTCTCACAATCCAATCATTTCACCTTTGAACATTCTTTTATTATCTTATACATCAACTTATGGGGGACACATCAAACCCAAATCATAAGTAAACACTAACCAAACTTATATTAACTCTTAAATTTCATGGAACGTGCTTATTTTTACTTGCTGGGAGTAAGAAAAAGATATGAGCAAGTTTTATGACTACTAAGGATGTGTAAGACCTATTTACCTTGTTTTCTTAATATGGCCAATTCCCTATTCTCTCCACTACTGTGGTGTTAAAGGAAAGGAACAGATTAAATATCCTTTTAAGAAGGCTGAAAACTAAATGTGGAGGTAATCTCCACTAGATAGGAAGAGGAAGTAAATGAGAGCATTTCTGGGTTTTAGTGGATTTGTAACCCCTGAATCATGCAAGAGTTTAAGCCCCAAAAGTCTTATGTTCATGGTATTAGGAGGGTGGAAATTTAATTTGACTGTGGTGTTTGGAGTTGGGGCCTTTGGGAAGTGATTAGGTTAGATCTATTGGGGTGGAACCTCCATGTTGAATCCTGGTGACTTTATAAGGGGAAGGAAAGAGATCACATAGACACAGAGATATGCATGCACTCCTGCCATGAAGTGATGTAGCCATGGGGTGCCCTCCCCCAAATCTGCATCATGCTCTTTGGACTTCCTGCCTCTAGAATAATGAGATAAATAAACTCTTCTCTGTATAAAGTAGTCTGCCTCAGTATTTCATTATAGCAATGAAAAACTGACTAATAACCTAAGGGAATAGGGGAAAGGGAAAGGAAAGATAAGGTTGGGAGGTCAGGTCTAGGTCTAGGTCCTTGATACCTTTTCTCTGTTTTGGGTTTTGTCTCAGAGGAGAGAGGCTACAGGAACATCTAGACAGATTGGGGAAACAGAAACAAACTATAAAGAGAGCACTTGTAAGACAAAGAGGCTTGCCCAACTTGGCCATGTAGTGCCAGGGGCCACCCTGCGCATGAGCTAAGCATGCCCCCTCAGCCTTGTTGGGGGTTGAACTGGCATCACACGACACACCACTATGTGAAGCAAGTGGGCCTTACCTTTGCTTGGCAAGGAAGTGCTTCAGCTATGGGCTTGAGCGTTACCCCCTTCTGAAATTTTATCCTCTGCCTTATTTGGGTGGAATATTCTATTGAATGTCTTTTCCCCAGTTAAATAGAGGGGTTCTGGGTGTACTCGCTCTCTTGTGCTCTTGCATTCCAGTGTGGAAGAAGACCCCTGAGGTTTCAGAGCCATCCCGACCCCCACTCAGTGAATAAAGTACTTCCGTGTCAGTGTGGTCTTTTCATCGTCCGCCTAAACCACACAGAGTGATCCTGATTCCATTGCCCATGGAGGGTGTGGATGATAATGTAGTAGTGACCAGGTCATAGCACACCCTTGGTGAAAGGAGGCTGTGGGGTCTGATGGGCCTAAGAAGGGCCACAGTGCCCTCATGTACTTTTTTTCTTGCTCAGGAGAACCTTTGAGTGTTGTGATGTTTTTTTGTTTGTTTGTTTTCATGTTGACTGAGATATAATTCACATGTCATATATTCACCTCTGAAAGTATCTGTTTCAATGCTTATACAAACCATTGCCAATAGCTAATTGTATTAAGTTTTGGCCCCTTTTCTCCCACATATATGGTTATGCAGTGTTTGTTAGCACAGCTACGGCAGGGTGAGTGGGGCAGTAAGAAGTTGAAAGGTCCTCACTGATGTTTCTATTTAATTGGGTGCTTTTGTTGTTCATTCACATTTAGTACTCCCAATTCCATGTTTATCTAAAAATCTGGTTCTTTAAATAAATATAGGATTTAGGTAGCCTTAGTTGTGTGTGAGGTATTATATCAGATTCATGGCTCCCTAAACACCAGGGTTGGTGGAAGTAACTAGCACATATATTTGAGAATATGTGCATGAATGTGTCTTTAGCATGTTCCTATAAATTGTGAGGTAGTGTGATCTGAGAACATCTTTAATTATTATAGTTCTCTTGATTCTAACTGGAAGTCTTGATTCAATAGCAAGCCCTTCTTTCTTATCTGTGAGTCAAATTGATAGGCGAAAGATGAATGCACACTTTAGAGGCAGAAAAAATAGGAGGTCATTTCCATAAAATTGGATTTTTCTTTTTGCAAATCACTCTTTAATCATTCCTATAAGGAAATTCTGAGGGTCAGAATGTTCATTAATATTAGGACCATGATAAAACAAAAAATGGCTGATGAGTTCCATTAGGTAGTGAATGGAGGAGAAGAAAACTGGGAGGAGAGAGGACAAATAGAGGAAGAAGAAAAATCTCTCCCAGTTGGGTGTAAGGAGAGAGGGATATGCAGAAACTGGGATGGACAGAGAGTACTGTTACCAATGTGTCCTGTCTGCTGAGATTATAGTCCAGATGATGTACTTTTGTTTTTAAAGAGAGAGAGAGAGGAGAGGGAGGGGAGAGAGAGAGAGAGAGAGAGAATGAGAATTTTTTAATATTTATTTTTTAGTTTTCGGCGTACACAACATCTTTGTATGTGGTGCTGAGGATCGAACCCGGGCCGCATGCATGCCAGGCGAGCGCGCTACCGCTTGAGCCACATCCCCAGCCCCAGATGATGTACTTTTAAGTCATGTTTTCTTTTAATAAGAAACAGTTTATCAAAGAGGGAGACTAACAATGTAAGGGAGATTGAAAAGTTATTATTCAAAAACAATTGCACCATCATTTAAAAACAATTAGCTCTTCTAGAACATGCTCCAGGAACCAGATTTGACCAAGTTAGTGACTTGATGTTTTGCAGCACAAGCTTGTGGCTCTTTTAGAAGCAGGTTTGTTAAAATAGGTCCCCAGTGCTGGGAGGCAGACCCCCAACACAGCTGAACTGTGGACCTGTCACATCCAACTAAGGTTCAGGAATGAGTGAGCCTGGGGGTGGTGCAGGCTCTTGAGGGAAGACAGTGGAGAGTATGTGCTTTTAAGAACTTCGGATTTTCCAGTTACAGTTTACTGAAGAAATATTGTCCCAACAAAGGTGAATTATAACCCAAATAAATAAAAACTAAGAAATTCTACAGAGACATTTTGTGCTTTCATAAAAATCATTTATTGGCACAGGAAATGATTTTTTTTTTCTAGTACAGTAGCCATATGCATCTATCATTGCAATTCAGTGTAAACTACGTGTTATGAGCCACTAGAAATCTAATTAGCAGGATGAATTTAATAAAGAATGAGAACAACTATGAGTCTACAGCGGCCCAGCCATCGAGTCTCATTGGAGCACAAATCAAATATCAAACCAGTGTTGTCCTGCAACAGTGTTTGTGTAGCCATGGAAAACCAAGACCGACAGATAGGATAGCACCCGTTCAATAAATTAGCTTCCAATTAGAAAAACATTATAACTGATAGAAATAATCTAAGTAAAAGAAGCACAAAAGTAAATAATAGTAAAGTAGCTATTTACATATATCACCTTTTGCCAAGACTTTATTAGCTTTCCCTTCTTACCTTTTCCCCTTCTGTTTGTTATTCTTGTTTTTAAATTTTTTCATGGTGATATTCTTGGCTCGCTGGAAAATATCTAGACAACGAACTAGACCTTTTTCCTCCAGGTCCTACACTTTCTACAACTTCATGTCAAACTAAAGAATCTGAAGGGTAAGCGTCTCCCTCTAAAGAAGTAATAAGCCTTATTATTCTGCCGTCAGTCTTAGTAACAACTAGTAACAAAAATCTTATCCAAACATTATTTGAACTACCCCAGAAAGTCGGGCTGTGGATGGCAGCAGAGTGGATGGAGTTTTCGTTTGTAATAGGCACAGGTAGCACACAGGTAGATGTTTATCCTGAGAGTGTGAATGCTGTGGACCGCAACTTAAGTTCCCCCATTACTGAGCATGGGCCTTCTGCCCTCTGCTCACCATTTATTTCTTAACTGTTTTTTAAGGCTTGGTATCTAAGAATGATGATGTCATTTCTACCAAAGAAGGGCTCTGTGATGAGTAGCAGCAGGACATAATTAAAAGAGGGCAGTTGAAAAGGCATTGAGTTGGTACATTTCTGGTGTGATGGCCAGAATGTGTGGGTTTTTAGCATCAACTAGGGAGCCTGAAAGACCTTCCTGATAAGGCTCTTTGACCTTTATCTATTCCTTTCTGGTACTTAAAACAATTTGTAATTACTTAATTTTTGCCTTGTTCGCCAACTAGAATATAAGCTCCAACGGAGCAGAGGCTATGCCTGTCTGTTCATCCCATGTTTCCACAGTGTCTAGAACCTAGGGTTCTAGTGTCTGGAACAGTGCCTGGTCCATAGTAGTTTCTCAATTAAAAACTTGCATTAAATAAATGAATCAAATCATGAAATCCCCTGGTCTGCCTCTGTCTAGAGACTTTCCAGGTTTGTATAGTGGCCAGGGTTGCTGGCCTGTCCTACTGATTGGGCTATCCTAATGATCCTACCCTGCTGTGAACCTGTGTAGTTGATATTTTTGTGCTTCAATGGGTAGTAAAACTTCTCCATGATAGACTCACTCTGCCCACCTCTCAAAGGTTAGCTATGCAGACCTAGCACTGCATGAGAGGTATGAGGGCAAGAACGTTCTAGGAGGTAAACTGCAAAGTTCTAAATTCAGCTCATTCTTCTCTACCTCCTTCTACAACCTCATTGTTTGACCGAAAGCTTAAGAAAAAAGTTATTAGGAGAATTTTTTTCTCGGCAGTACCAGTTCTGTAAGTCACCAATATCAAGTTCAGAAAAGAAATGGTGTGAATTCACCTATATAAAAAAACTAAGTTAAATAAAAGCAAAACCTGGGAGCAGAAAGGAAGTGAGGTGGTGGGCTGTCTAGGTCCTTTGTTGGTTAGATTGCTAGACGTGGAAGCGCACACAGGCATGGCAAGGGTGGAGAGGCTGGAGGGGAAGGGGCAGAGCTCTAGAGGACCAGCTGTTCTTTCCTCCTTCTCCCTCTTCTGCCAACTCTGAACTTGGCCGCAGCTGGCGGAGCTCCTTGCTGACTTGCTCTCTCTCTCTCTCTCTCTCTCTCTCTCTCTCTCTCAGGCAGAGGAAACAGGCAGCTGGTGCCTCCACAGCACATCCTTAGGCTATGGATGCTCTGCTGGAGTAGAAGTCAGGGACCGGGAGCCCAGTGTGAAGTGTGACCTGGTGGGGACGAGACTGTGAGTTCTGCAATACACATCGGTTAACCCCTTCCCCCCCCCAACACAGTGCACAGTGGGTGTGCTATTAATTTAAAAAGGGGTCTATCTGTTTCTCTCCCAATCAATTCCAGTAGACAGTAAGGAGGATTCTAGCAGAATTCTAGCTGTGGCAACAGCCTGGCTATCATGGGGGCTCTCAAATTCTGACGATATTTAATAATCTGGTTCTCAGCCATCTGCTTCTTTTATTCTGAGAGACTGTGTACCTTATGATCAAAGACACAGGCAGGCACTGATTTGCAGGTAGTAAACCCACTGGCTTCACCTCAGTGAGCACTGTTGAATCCATGGATAGAGGACAGATCAGCAGAGACGACTCCTCCCTTACTGCTAGCCTACTAGTTATTCCAGGTGGGGATAAACCTCTCAGAGATTGCATGGACAGTTGTTTGCCAGTTATGAAGAAACATGGCCTTAGTTTCTGTTCAGCCTCAAACCTCCATGGGCAAGACTGGAACTATTTCATGCAGTACTATCATTTTCCTCCTTTTTGTCCTTGGCTTCCCCACCCAAGAGTCTTTAATCTAAAGATACTCAGAACATCCTGGAAACCCCTATAGAGCATGTAGTATGATCTTCTTTGGAAGGAAAATGGCTGAAAATTTGAAAACGTTGAGTGTCTTTTTTTTCTTCTTCTGAGATTTTCTTATAGGGAAATTTGTAGTTTTCTTTCTTCCTATGTAGAAGATAAATTCTGAAAGATTAGATTCTAGCCTCCCAATCAGTTTTACTGCTCATATTGATAGACAACACTGATTTTTAAAAATATCTTAAGATAGGATTCTCAAGTCCTATCTTAAGGAGCTATTTGCTGACAGAGGTTCACGGTTGTTAATGAGAGGCCCAGCTCAGGAGGACCGTGAGATCACAAGTCCCAACAGTGGCTGGCAGTGCACAGCCTCCACCCCTGCATGGCTCTGATCCTCCTCTCCTGCTGCCTGCTGCCCCAACCCACTAGGCTCTTTGCGCTTCTCTGTCCATCTGGGCTCTTCATGCCATGGAAATTTTGCAAAGGCTGTTTCTTCTCCATGGAACTCTCCACATAGCTCACTCCACCCCTGTAAGGGTCACTTCACCTGTTATTGCAATAGGGCCAGCCTACACTGGCCATCCTCATTAAGACTGTAAACCCCCCTGCTCCCCTCCCCACCAATCCCAGTACTCTGGATCCCCTGACCCACCCTTTTCTCCATCACACTTTTTACTTTCTAACCACCATGTAATTAATGTCATTGTGCTTATTGTTTACTGTTTGTTTTCTATAACTGGAACAGAAGCTCTAGGAGGTTAAGCTTATTATCTGCTCTTTTCCCCCACTGATGTATACCAAATATGTATAATAGTGCCTGGTATGTTAAAAGCACTCCATATATTTTTACTGAATGACTGAATGAGAAGAACCTGTTGTTTTATGTCTACAATAAACCTTAAGTAACTGAGTTCCAGGCAGCCTCAATGTTTCTATTCCTACAGCACCTAGCAAGCTGGAGTGCAGAGAGAGTACTCGTGTTTTCTGCTCAGTGTAGGAGTACTTCAATCATACATCTTCACTTCTTCTCGGAGCTCTGTGTAAGTCATCTCATCTGGTTTTCTGTTAGTTGTGAAAGGCTTTCACTTCTACTTAGAGATGAAACTAGAACAAACCACGTGTAGAACAAAACAGATTTCAGTTTCCCACACATTGTTAACTAAACTGAAAATATAAGGAAGGATTATGCTGGTATGAAATTCCACCACTAGTGGTGCTGATCCCTTCTCTCCCCCTTTCCTCCATGCCTGTGCTCTGTGCTCTGAGGGTTTGACTTGAGCCCAGGGACAGCCTTTGAAACCAGAAGAAGCTGTTCTTACATCAGAGGGGCTTGGAGCTTACCTGCACATTCCTGTTTAGGCTGACAGCAGGGAAGAAAAGGCCCTCCACATTCTCAAATGCTATGGGACCCTGCTGTTCATCGTTGATAAAAAATGTCAAGGTCTTTCTATTTAAGTCGAGGAGGACACCAATGGTGGCCCCTTTTGTGATTCCTCCCTCCGTTCTGTGGGAAAAGAAAGAAATGAGGTTTTACTTGCTTGTTATCATTCTAAAAGCTCCCCTTTTGTATGGTTAAGCCAATCTGTTGCCACCTGTTTAAATGTTTTGCCTCCTTCCCCCCAACTTTTTAAAGCAAGTTTTCCTGTAAGCACCTCCTTTCACATAAAATTTAAATATCACAGATATACTGTATACCTATCATTGTACAGTACATATATCTGTGCTGTATAAGGGGTAAGATCTTTTTGCCTTCCACCAACGTCCACTCCCTTGGGGGAGGAATCAGCTCCTGATGGGAGTATGTGAGTTGCTCTGCATTGCTGAGAGTGAACTTGTTCATCAGGGTCTCTACCATGAGCTGAAGCAGTATAAAACAAAACACTAAGGTCTGGAAAACAATAGTCTTTTGGCTGCCGGAGCTCAGATTCTGGCTATATTGCACACTTTGCATAAATGGTGGAAATTAAACATCATTAAATACAAAATGACTTAATTTGAAAGCCTAAATAAAGATGCAGTTAGGTTGAACCTAAAACATATGCATGGGAAGTTGAATTTGGGGCCTTCTGCTTCCCATTAAATAGTAAAACTCTTTCCAGAAAGATGAAAATTTTTTGGCATGCTGAATTTGAGTTACAAAGGTATAGGGTCTCTGAAAAATGACAACATCTAAGAATATTCTTCCATGCAAAGAGAGGTAATTATACTACAGGAAATGCAGTGATTTTATGGAACCTGCATATAAATGCCATTTTTACAAAGAATTGTGTCTTCGCTTCAATTAATGGTTTCACCAAACGCCATTAAACAGGGGTGATCAGATTTGTCTTCCCTTCCTTTTTGAAACCTAGCAATACTGAACTTCATCCTCATCTCAGCAGAGCACAGAAATTTAAAAACACAATTCATTTCCTCTTGCATGCACAATACAGACTGTACACAGCCATTAAAAGCCAGGTTTACAAGCTGCATCTCGTTATTCACAGGTTTAACACAGACAGCACAAGTGACATGCAGTTTGCATGCAGGCACATGTGTTCAGAATGTGTTTCTCTGCATAGGTGTTGGTTGTGTTCTTATTCAGTCCTTCACTTAAAAAAAAAAGATGCTAATCATGGTACAGAGGTAACATCATCAGGAATCTAGTGTTAGAGTTCTCTTAAAGGTAAATCATTGAAGACAACTGCGTACATCCGTAGGATTTGATATCAAGTTGAAATGGTGTATGTGCTCACTTCAAGTGATAGTGAAAGATACACACCCAAATGGAGATATATTGAAAATATCCCAGGGAACAGGAGGCCCTAGGAATCTACTGTTTATAATACAAGGGCCAGGGATGCACATATAGGAAAAAGCTAAAACGGTAGAGACTGGTCATCCCACCACTGCCTGACCTGATTTTCCTTTGGTCTGACCAAATGCAACTGGATTTTTTTTTTTTTTCAGAGACACCAATGCAAATGTATCTTGAGGAATCTTTAAGACTAAGGTGAACCAGTGTTCATGAAATACACTTCTCGCCTCAGAAATTTCTGATAAACTACATTTGAAGAGAACACAAACAAATGAAAAAAGAAACCCAGGGGTTTCTGGATTTCTAGTTATCTATATTTTGGTAATAGAGGAAAACCTTAAGGAGCTCACTACCTTCTCCTTCTTTAGCAACTGGGTGCTCTGAATTCATACAATAATAAGAGAGTCTTAGAACAAAGCTCCCCAAATTGGCATCAAGAAGATTTTGTACAATGCATTGCTTCTATTTGGAGTAGTATTGTTATAATAAGAACAATGGCTTTTATTTTCTGGTGCCTGCACCGTTAGGCAATTTTTTATATCTCATTTAATCTTCAGATTAAATACTCCTGTATGGATTTTTTTTTTTTTTACTAACTTGGAGCATATGCAAACCCACATAGGGAAAAACAAATATTACTTTGTCTGGAAGCACTTTTCTGGTAAGTCATAGGCCTGGGTTTTAGAATCCTGCATTGTTTTTCTACAATGGATCTCCCTAGGGACTCTAGTTCCTAGTCCTGGGTGTAACATAGCAATAAAGGGCTAAGAAAAGTGCACATGTCTATTATTGTTATTATGCAAAAAAGGTCCACCTGCAAGATGGACACAGCTTAGAGTAATGGATCTCTTCTGTGACTTAATGAAAACTACCATCCCTTTCTTAATGTCACCTATGTAACAGGTCTTTGGACCAGGGTTCTCATCAGTGACCAGAAGCCAACGTGAAGAAGGCTTGGTTTGGGGCTGCAGGGTACCTGTTGGTGTGCGAGTTGTTGTGCATGAACCAGCTCCGGTTATTGTCCACATACATTGCCCAAGCTTTGTCGTCCTTTCCTAACATCACATCCTTCATCACATCCATGCGAGCTACGCCAAAAGCAGGATCCGGGTGGTTGTCATAGCGATCTATCGTTAGCTCCCAATAGTGAACTCCCTTGGAGAAGCCAGTCTTCCCCAGGACCACCCGGTCATCATAGCTACTACAGGTCACTGTCAGGTTGTCATTGGAGAAGATGATGTCCGAGTGTGCAGAGCCAGGGTCGAAAGCAAACCAGGCCACTGAGAACAACAGAAAGGAATTGGGTTATTAAGGCAGATCCAACAGGCTGAAACACACCCCTGGGTGGGTGAGGAGCATCGTGTCAAGTTTTCATGCTGCCATGCAGGAAGGAGGTGTCCGGGGCCAGAGGGGCCATAAGTGAGCAGACAGGGGCACATCCTGGGAGTTGGTACTCTGCACCAGAAGCAGATGGAGGACACACGACCGATTCAGCAGGGGTTACCTGGCGCAGACTGCACTCCCAACTGGGTGATCCGGGAGTGAAGTAGCATCGAGTTTGGAAGGTGCAAGTCCCTTTCTCTGGTGACTGGCAGAACAGTGCACCAGAGACATAAAGGGAGAGGGGATGCACTAAGGTACCTGTGTAACCCCTGAGGCGGGGAGGCTAGATCTAGAGTCCTGGATGGAGGAGGGATAAAACACACTGAATGAAATCAGGAAATAGCCCTTAGGCAGAAGTGCTAATGTCTAATTGTTTTGAAAATTTTCTTGGTTTTCCTGCCCGCTCAGAAGCTGTGAGGCTATAAGCAACATCAACTAATTTCCACGGATGATTGTGATTTGAATATAGGACAGGTTTCTTCCTTCCTAACTAGAAAATGTGCTACTCCTAAAACTAATATGTACTCTGTTCTGCTGGAGCAGTAGGCAGTTTGGACATTAAGCACAGATAGAAGGACGTCTTTGTATACATTGCTGTACCCCCCATTCTAAATGCTGCCTACAAATAATACACTATAGCGAGATGAAATTGCTGACTTATTAAACCTGTGAGCCACCTCACATGCATTTCAGTCTTTGCTACTGGTAATAGAACAAGGTCATTCCATACCTGCCAACAGCTTTTTAATGTCAACTGTTGTCATTCCAATGAAAGGCATGGGGGAGAAAAATAGGAAGCAAAATTGACATTGATAAGAAAACATGTCTCTTTTGATAGACTAATACCACAAAGGGATCCACTGAAAATGTTACAAATACTACAAACAGCTGGTCTGACTTGTAGCAGTACCCACATTTAATGCTCATAAAGGGTGCTTTGTACTGATGCATAAGAGAACTGGGGGGAAGTAAGCTTTGAGATATAACATTAAAAATACAGATTTTTTTTCCACTTTGCTAAGAATTTGAAAAACTCATAAAGGGGTGAGAAGACAATTAGACAATTTTATTGACATAAAATAAGCTGCTGCCATTTATTTTGTGAAGGAAATTGAGCATACCAGTCACATAAGTCAAAGATAACAATTACAATAGGTATACTTGCCTAATTGAGAGTAAGGTGCAGACTGTGTCTCAAAATTGCATCCTATAAAGAGATACTACACATCAAAGCTATGAAACAACAGCCAGGTTGATAAAAAATATTTGTACACATTTAAAAAGCACCGACTGCATGGAGTCACCAGAGGCCTGATTCATGAAAAAACAAAGCCCTTTTTGTGTTGGTTGTCTTTGCTGGGTAAAAATTGCTTCTCTGCTCTTTCAAATGAGAAGTACATCTTTTTACTCTTTAATAAAGTCTTCTCCAATTGATTCTAAATCCTGGAGCTTAAATTTTCATCATCTTTCAAGTTCAATCTTGTCCACTGAATTTTCATACTAAGAAGGTTGACTGAGAAAAATATGCCCAATCAAAATGGAGAAATTATTGGATCTTATCGAAGCTGTGCTCTCTTAGCATTATTGTGTGCATTTCTAACTCTGGATATGCCCCAAAGTCTTTCTTTTGACTTAGGCCCAAGTTCAATGATACGTCTATAACTAAATGTGTAATGTAATCCATATGTTAATGCATCTGATAAGTAATAATGGTGTGAACTGAATGTTTTAAAAACAAAAATCTGAAAATGTTACATATACTACAAACAGCTGGTCTGACTGGTAGCAATACTCACATTTAATGCTCTTTTTGTAGATTGTTTTGTTACATCGGTAGTTGTCCCTGAGGGAGAGGAGCAGGGACGGGGGAGTGGGAGTGATCTCAGACAGTGGAGTCACCTGGGGAATTTTTTCAACTGTCCGCTTCCCAAAGGTTTGCAAACCCCCACAACATGAGAAGTTGTGTGGAGACAGAGGAAGGCTGTTTAGTCTTAAAGTGTTCAAAGGTGTGTGACTTATAATTTCCAGTGGTGTTAGGGACTAATTTAGAAAATGTAGTCTTGATGAGCACCACAGGAAAAAGGATCATGTAATTTTATTTTTCCAATTTAGTAAGGTCTTTACATGCCACTTTCTAAAACAACTAAAGGATAATTCACTGACTTACAAGAATTTACAACAATTAGAAAAGCAACTTACTGAAGAAAAGGCTGAATTAAAAAACAAAATGTAAAGATTATGACCTAAACTTTGGGTTAGCTAAACTTCACTCAGCCTGGTTTTTATGTTTGGTTTCCACTGACTGTCACTTCGATTCCTACTCCTGGGTTAGAGCACAGTGAGTGTGGAACATTCAGAGTTTTAAAATGGAATTTTATTTCCAGCTTTGGAAATAAATTTGTAGAATCTGACCAGGGCTTTACCGATTTTTAAATGAATCATGCCTTTTGCAAGTCATTTTTTGAAACGAACATTCTGAAATCTTTTTACACTACTTTAGACACATACATTCAAGATTCCACAATACAACTAGAACAATGCTGTTAAATACACCTGTCAAATATCCCCAAACCCACATTTCATTTTATTCTTGAGACAATATACATTACAAAGACTATAACAATATTTCATTACATTAGACACAAGTGAAGAGAGTTCCATAACAAAGCATGTCGGAAAGCCAGTAGTGCACAGAGAAACAATAAGAAACGCAAAAGCACAAAGAAAAACATCATTTTCAAGAGAGCTTGAAGTCCCTGCATCCTTTTTGCACTGTCATGCTGTGGCCTTCTTCATTCCAGGATGTGGGATGAGCCAAAAGGATAAAAATAAAAGCCAAAAGAAACCTTTGGAAATGTGAAATGTGCATCATGTGTATCCATGATTACAATATAGTCCTGAAGAGATCAAATAGGTCTGCATTTGTAGATATTTTAAGATTCTATTTGCTAGACGTAGCTCATTGCAAAGTAACACAAGTCTAGCTTCCCTGAAATCAACCATAAGCCCTGTGTCACAACCAGGGAAACTCCCCAGAGGCTGAACTTTTGAATTGCTTTGGGTCTTTGGGCATCGGGCATTAGGAGTTAAGGATTTCTAATTCAGCCAGTGGTGGTCCCTGCCCTTTGCTAGGAAAACAGCCATGAGCCCGCTGTCTTGCCAGTGAATACAGGCTTTTGCAGAAAATACTTTCACTCTCTGCTCTCTGGTTTGCCTGCTTTGTACGATGCATTCTGCTGTGGGCATGTTTTCACTTTTTATTTGATTTTGTCAATAAAGATCTCTTGAGTCTATGTTTAATCAGACCACTCCAGGCTGGATGCACTGATCCAGTCTCCCAGACACAGCTGGTTTCCTGGATACAGAAGGGCTGCAAACCTCCCAGCTACTACTGCGGCCTCCACTCAGCCAGCGCCTGTGCGGTGCTATGCTACTGCATGTGATGACAGCAAGTTATCCATGGTGCTACCAGCTTGTGCAAAAAGAACAACTTCACTCATCACTTTCCAATGCCATCACACACGGATCACAGCTCCATGGTTGGTCCTTTCGCCACACAAACAAGAAAGCCACAAAGCTCCATCATCCAAATGATCCTCACACTGGAAGCAGGCCACAGACACAGAGACTAGCTCATCCCCCTCACCACGCACATGAATGGCAAGAACAAAACAGGTATTTCAGAGATGCCTTCAAGGCACAGAAATCAAGAGGAAAGGTCTGACAGCTCAGCTCACCCGATGTATTGAGAGACTGTAAAGAAGAATGCAAACTCAGCTGGTGGGGTGAGGATCGGAAATCAAAGTAGGATCTCCCGGGGAAGCTGGGTTGTAGATTAAGGGTGGAGGAGAAAGGACTCATTCTACGGAGCGGCAATCTTTCCGAAGGCACTGGAAAAGGGAGGGTCTGTTCTTCTGAGTCTGTGTCTAAATGTAAGATCAATGCAAACTAGAGATCAGAAATCTGCTCCCTGTGGTTCCCCAAGACCTGCCTTAACAATGCATTCATACAAGCCTCATCTGTCCTGCAGGGTGCCACATGCAGACATTAACAAAGCTGAGGTATCTGCAGGCTGGCAGGAAATTCTCAGCAAGTCAGGACCCAAGACCTAGACTCAAGGCCCTCTCACATCACTAAAAATTATTTTCATTTCCCCCAATTTTTGGTGGTAGAAAAAGTCTTTTGGAAGGTTTCCTTTAAATTAAATATTTTTAGAGTTGAATTCAGAAACTTCAGAGGTCAATTTTACCCATTGTTGACCAAGAGGAGATTATTACCTTACCAGCTTCAGCTACCCCAACAGATTACTGGGTATTCAATAACAACCTCTTAAAGTGTTTCTAACTTAGGAGACAATAAGTTTTACAAACTGTTTCGTATTTCCCCCTTTCTCTGCTAATGTGTCTTTTTCCATTTCTGGATGGATGAGATGATTTCTATAATAGCACAATGAAGGCTTGAGCTTTGAATAGGAGAGGAAATGTGGGGTGACCTAAGAGAGGGCCCAACAAGTAACCTGGGAGGAGTTTTATCTTTGCTTCCGAATTCTATTCAGACCCTAGGAACATCAGTGACCTTCTCTGGTTCTCTAATTATAAATAGCCTATGGGCAGTGGGGAGGTGCATTGGTGTAAAGCGTCTCTGTTTCTTTTCAAATAGTCCTGTCTGGTATTGAAGATCATTATACCAGAGTAAGAACTTAATCAATTACTTGGTCTGACTTTAGATGGTTGTGAGTTAGCTTCTCTACTAAGTAAAAACGACTTCTTTCACTTGTCAAACAATAGCTATCTATGCAGTGATATGGTTTTGTCAAAAATGAATCATTCACCAATTGGAGCCTTCTTAACACTCAGTTTAATAGAAAAAATTCAGGACATGAAAGTTACACACTGTGTCCAAAACCCCAAGGGAACTTTCATCTTTTGAAAAAATAATTTTGTTTTGGTGGCCAGCAGGTGTTACTGGGAATGCTTTTCTGGCTTGAGTCTGTTAGCAGCTCCTCTTTGGGCACGCCCTTTTCCTGTCAAAATGCTACTCTGTGCATGTTTAGGCAAAAATAACTGCAGTGTGTGTGGGACCAACGTGATCCTATTTGAGGAGCTCAGAACAAGGGTGTTGGCAAGTTCTAATACTGCCAAGAAGCAGTTTCATTTTCATTTCTGAACTCACAATATTAAAGTTAGCTTTCCATACTTTAGAATTATCCTTAGGGCAAGATTTTTTTTTTTTCTAAGTATAAACCAGATACCAGAGAAAAGGAATTGCTATTTATGGAGTTAAGGCTTTATGCTTCCAAAACTTCTACCTAGACTTCATATGATTCGGATGAATTGGCATATAAAATCCTTTCTTTGTTCAGATATGATACATCAAAAATTATTATCTATAAAAATCAATTATGTTATAATCAACTTAAGGGGGAAATTATCCTCTAAGTTTAATGGGAAAGATTTGAACTATAATATAGCACCAACAACAGACATGGGCTTTTAATGAGATAGGGCCTTTACAGCTATAATTTTATCAGTAATATATATATATATATATATATATATATATATATATATATATTAGTTGTGGATGAACTTTATTTTTATTTTATTTACTTGTATGCATTGGTGATAATCCAACCCAGTGCTTTACCCATGCTAGGTAAGCTCTCTACACTGAGCCACAACCCCAGCCTGTAAAATATTTTGTATTAAAAAGAATTTCCTTGAAATGACTCTCAATTCATTATATTGAAAATACTTCTTGCTTCAAAATTAAGGGAAAATGCATACGTGGTAAGATGAATTTTGGAGCATTTTGAATCCTCAAGCAATTATCTGTAAACCCAAGACGAGATGGGTACAGAATCTAGAACTGGGGAAGCATATGACCATCCTGAGTCATACTCACCTTTTCTACTTTCAGCACCAGGAAGGAGGGCTTAAGGATTGGCAAGGGCACCACTTTGTGGGATGGGGGCTGACGGTAGCTATGGTTACTCCTGGGATTAACAACTTGATACTCAAATGATTATTGTCTTATCCTTTTTTGTGGATCCATTGTTTATCAATGACCCAATTTTCTTGACTCCTCTGACGTTTGGACTCTGCCCTCTGCTCAGGAAAACATTTAATATCCATGTTATCTAAACATTCCATTTTTATTTTTTGAGGTTTTTAAATTCTCCCCAACTAGGGCTTCCCATTCCTGACATCTTCATTCTTACCCATTTCTTCTAAGTTGCTTCTATATCACCACCACCACCACTACCACCACCACCATCATCATCATCATTCTGCCTTGCCATGAGAACTTTCCAAATGAATTAGAAGAACACTGTCCACCTGATTCCAGCCAGACTAGACAGGCACTTCTCCCTTCACACTGCTCCTCATGGACATGGGCACATGTGCAAGTGTTTGATCAGTTGTCTTCAGGTCACCTATGCCACTTCATGTTATCTTAGATTGCAAGTCTCAGAAGGAAGACCCTTATCTCAACATTTGAGGAGGAACCATCATGCTTCCCTTGAAATGACCTCCAGCCAGCTTTCTCTAATCTGTAGTTAGTGCTTGTATTGCGTGGATGTATTCCTTGGGAAACTCTGCCCCCCCCAGTTGTAGCACTACCATCTGGGGCCTTATGGAACAGATTAATAGTTCTTCAAGTATTTGAGGCAAGCCACCACTCCTCTTTAAATTTTCCCTTTTCTGAGTAAAGCGTGGTCAATTTCCAACTGTTCTTTTATGTATGGATTTCAGATCCTTCACGCGCCTGGTCATACCTCTCTGAACATGTGGATAGGCATGAACCAAAGACAATATGATAATATTGAGAATGGTATTGCCACAACCTGGCTTAGCCAAATCACAGATAAGTCATATTTAACATATGCAGAACTACTCTAGTGTGTATTCTGTTATCCCCATGGGATGCAAGAAGAAAGTATATCTCACATTCTCACTTCCCCTTCAAAATACAACTAGTGAGATATGGAAAATGTTTCTTAGTCATTAATATTTTATTAGTCAAGACAAAGAAGAATGAGGTTATTTTTTGTAGAATATGAAGCTATGTTTCAGGTCACAGCTGAATTATCCAGGATGATGATGATGATGATGATGATGATGATGATTTTTTGGCTTATAGGATCTCCAGAGAAAGACAAGTAACTCCCTAATAGATTGCTAATATCTTATCATTACATGCAGTGATCCTGCCGGGCTGAAGAGCTATGCTGAGTGAAAGCAGTGTAGTGGGAAAGTAGAGTGGAAAACAGTATGCCAGTGACTGAATGTAGAGACTCCATGCATGTCTATAATTCTCAGATGGGGACTGAAAATGTTTCAAGACGTGCTTTCCTCTACTCTGACAATGACCATCATTTTTCTCTTGCTGTTCTCTGGACTTCTTTCCCTTCTCACCTGGGGTTGGCTGGATTCTGGAGCAGAGACCTAGCTAATGGCAGAGGCTTCTGCTTAAAAGAAGCATTCGAGAATTATGAAAATAAAGATCAGCTGGGGGACCACGTGTACTCTTTACTGGCTTTGGTTCAAGGAGAAAAAAGAATATCTAGGTGGTGTACTCTGCTTGGCTCACTGTGTAGTTAGTTCTTCTGTTTACTTATTGGTTGATTGATTGTACTGGGGGTTGAACCCAGTGATGTTTTACCACTGAGCTGCATCCCTAGCACTTTTTATTTTTTATTTTGAGACAGGATCTTACTAAGTTACATAAGGCCTCACTAAATTGTTGAAGTTGGCCTTGAATTTGTGATTCTCTTATTTCAGCCTCCCAAATCATTGGGATTACAGTCATGTGCCACTGTGCCTGGCTTGTATAGTTCTTTGAATTGTTCATTAGCTGACACTTATTGAACACATATCATGTGCTAGACATTGTATTAGAATTGAGCAATTGGTGTACATGAAGCTGGCAGAAGAGCTGATTATAAGAATAATAATATAGAGAATCTGTGTTATTTATTATTGATTGGTTTTTATACTTCTAGGGGTGGCATTTCTAGACCAACCTGTACAGAGTATGAAAGATTTCTACAGGTGTAGAATAATATAAAAATGTAAAGTACAGTCTTTAAGGTATTATTTTTGGGACTCAAAGAGGAAAAGCACACTGACAGAGGTTTCTTATGACAGTGTATGCTAATTCAGGTTTCTTTGGGTTCTAGTGGAATCCCCAAGGTGTCCTGTCTGATAGTGAACAGCTTCATAACCAAGCAGCCCTTGGGCCCTGGTTCAACATGGTGGTTGTATTTTAGAGCACAGTAAAGCAAGACATGTCACTAAGAATTGTACAAATGGTGTTAAAGATGAGTTTCAGTTCAATTATAAGCCAGCTGTAAAATAATTTCCTTTTGTTGGGAAGATTCTAAGAGACAAAAGAAATGAATGAAGAAGGAGGTTGAGTTTTCTTCAATGATCTAATAAGCAACCAAAGTCACAATTTATGTCCAAGTGGTACATAATTTATAACAAAAGGTGGTATTTTAAGCTTTCTTAATTGTGGCATTAATTGCAGTTGAGAAGTGAAAAACAAATCTGTTTTGAAAGCCTCCTTTTAAAAGAATAAAACAGCCTTTGCTATGCCTAGGATGGTTGTGTACCTCATCACTCTAATTTAGAATGCCATGGCATTATTTATCAGGAACTATCATTAGGAGAACTGAAAATTCCTATATTTCAATTAGATATCCAAGATTCCAAAGGACTCCACTGTTCCTCAGAATGTCGACTGTCAAGCATATGCCCTAGAACCAAATATAGAGTCTGGATCCAATACAGTCCTGTGGAAAAATTTCAGGAAATTTCTTGGGATATCATGTATGTTGTCAAAACTAAAAGGAACAAAATCTCTCTCTGTGTGTGAAACCTATCATTATGACTTTCATTTTGCAAAATTTACCCAAATTTGG